AACTATGATGAATAACATAATGAAATAACATTTAGTGTACTAACTGCAAAACCTTAAATATTGAGGCATTAAAACCAATTTAAAACGACTTCGAATCAAGATCTAAGGGTTTTGTATTTTCCGACACTGTTTTCTAACTGAGGGATGGAGTCATGTATAGAAGTTCACGCATGTGAGGAAAGCTCTCTGACCGACGTTCACATGGGAGCGGCCAGGAACGATTCTTTTACATGCGCCTCAAGCAGCTCATGACTTCCGGGCTTAGACCAAGTATCCTCTGGGTAGCCAAATAACATCCCTTTGAAGGCGAGTTAAGTGAGAAAGCGAAGCATCCTTCTCCGTAAGCGAAGTTAACGCCAGTAAAGAAGAAGAAGATTTTCTAACTGTAAAATGGTTATACTAAATAAGTAGTAAGCTTTAATTCACCTGATTATGTAAACATTTTCTAAGTAGCTAATTAGAGTTTGCAAGTATTCCAAATATTGCAGCGTGAAGCTCACAAATATACAATTTGCAGGTTTTGATATCCACAGGTCATATATGTTATCATAGAACTTGGTTCTGCAGCAAACTTTACTTCCCACGGTTTCAAAAATAAAGAATTCTTGATTTAAACAAAAGCTTTGACATCGCTAACCGATTGTCACACCAAATTCTGAAATTTGATAACTTAGGTGTTTGAATTTTAAACATCGAAAACCTAAATAGGCTCCCGAAACAATTATGAAAGACTTATATCCAAAATAAAAAATAAAAGTAGTAACTTTTCCAGTTCAATTGAACAAAAACATGACAGGAATAAATGTGGAACAAAAACTGAAACTTATTAATTTTAATTATCATAAAGTTTGGTTCCTTACACATTCTGTGAAAATTGACCATAAGCCCAAAAAACAGCTCAATGCGTATTTCAACAAAAATCTGTTTATTTACAAACCGTTTGAGAAGTTTAGCAGGTGTTGAACGAAAATTTTTATTGACGCCTTAAGGTATGCTAAAGATAATTGCATATTAATTTATGCATTTAACTAATTGAGAGAATTAGCAAATTTAGCAATTATTTAATATACTCAATTAGTAAATCATGCAATTAATTAGTAAATTTAAAATTTTTTAATTGATTAAATTAAAAAAAAAAAAAATATTAAGTCAATTAACATATTATGTAAAAAATTAATTTAGTTGATTAGTAAATTGTTTATTCACAAACCAGTTGAGAAGTTAAGCAAGTGTTGAACGAAAATGTTGAGTGGCGCTAATAATAATTGCATACATATATAAAATTCTGCTTATTGTTCATGCTTCATTTCCTTTCTTTAACTGTCACTTAAAATTAGTTCAATTAGAAAATTTATGCGAGAAGCTATAATTATAGGAACCATCCTCACTGACCATTTGTACATTTACACACATTTTCTATTGCATATTTGTAAGTTAGTTTGTATGATTGGCGTCTGTTTGCCTGTAGCTATTTGTAAAATGGCTGCATAATAAACTTTGAAAAATTACTTACATATATATATTTACACTTTTAGTAGTGTGTGTATCACACAAATGTATTGTAAGTATTAACATGCTACGAACTATTTTGTTGCAGAAATATAATACTTAGTACTCGTATATAACGTCATATACACACGTAAGTATGTCACCACATACTATTTTCCCCAATCAGATGCCTGCTTATCGAATATTGTATGTGAGTATGTATACAATTTAACACACGCACACACACATATGCGCTCTTACGCGTACTCGATATCTATGATTATATTTTATGTAGTGGTAATAGTTCTGAAGTATGCCTGTATTCATACGATTATCCTACTGTTAATGCTATCTACTTGCTATCTGAGAATGTGTTGCTTATTGCGCGCAATGACATATTAGTGTTCAATGCGACTGCGCCTAAGTGAATTATTAAATGTCAATGGCAATATGAATGAATATCCTGAATAATTGATTAAATGATTGAATATTTGAATGAAAGCATTACAAGCAAGGCTTAAGTATGCGCACACATATGATATCTTTATATACATATATATATATATTGAAACGTGTACGCATTTGCTGAATGAATGGGCGTTTAAATACCGTTGAAGCGCAAACGCATACACATATGGACACACATAGGAATAGTTGCTTGAATATGCAATGATTGAACGCATAGCTGATTGTGTGGCTGTATAAATGGTACGATTCGTATGTTGTGTGCGAATTAATGCATTCGTATGCCTTTATATTAATATAATTAATGCTGTTTCTTCATATGCTTTAAGCTGTATACCTACACGAATACGAATACAAAGAGATGAACATTTTGCCCAAAGGCAGAAGCGAATCCATGCAAAAATGGCTGAACGCATAAATTTGTTTGATTTTGAACTGAGTTCATGGCTGATATCAATATGAGAATATATACAAATGTAAAAGTGTCTACTTGTTTGTACGTATCGCGTAGGAGATCGCATGAATGCTGACATTATTTAAGTGAAAGGCTCGTGGCAATGCTAATCCTTTAATCCTGCTTACGCCTGCAGTAACTACCGCATAGAAATGTTGCTGCGCAGCGCATTTTCACTTCATTCAACTCATGTTTCGTTTCTTCCTTTCATTCTGCTTGTATATACACTATCTGGAGGTAAGGACTTAGTGAAGTTCTTGGGGATTTGGTAGTGCAGTGAATTTTGTGGTTTGGGTCATTTGTGTTTTGTGCATTTTTGTTATAAATCATGTTCATTGCTGGCAAACAGTTAAGTGAATAATGGAATATTATATTATATCCATGCCAATATATTAAAGTAGCTTAAGGCAAATTAGTGAGAGCTAAACACGCTGGATTTAAAAAATTTAAAAAATCTGAATTTTCGAATTTTGTATTTTATAATATGGTTTTGTATGAAGCTTATTGTCGACACTCGAATAAATTAGTTGACGCAATTAAGATTCTCTCTTTTATAACAATTGACTTAAGCTGTTTTGGATATTGTTCCGTTGTTAGTTTTATAAATGAGTTCACTCTCTTCTCTTAATTCACTCAATTAGTGAACTAGGGAATTAATTAATTTGGTCAATTAGCAAATTGTACAATTATGTAACTGACTACATTAAAGAATTGACGCATTCAATTATTAATTTATGCAGTTAACTGATTCAGACTATTAGTAAATTTTACAATAACTTAATCCACTCAATTAGTTAAATATGCAATTAATAGATTTGGTAAATTACTAAATTGTACAATTATATAATTGGCTTCATTAGAGTATTGACTTAGTATATTAGTAAACCATGCAATTAACTAATTCAGTCAAATGACTAAATCAATTAAAAAAAATAAATTTAGTAAATTAATAAATTATTCAATATGAATTGTTTAGTTTACTAATTGACTAAGTTAAGGAACTGGCTTAATTTTACAATTATTTCATTGCTTCAATGCAAGTCAATTAGAATATCAGTTTGTCAAAAAAGTCTTGCGGTATCTTTTATTTATTTATTTATTTATTTTTTCATTTTATAACGGTTTGATGACTCATGCTCAGCCGGACCAATTCAGCGATTTTATCGTAATTTTCGACGACAGGCCTTCCGGAGCGCGGCGCATCTTCGACCACCTCTACACCAGAACGAAAACGCTGAAACTATCGTTGTGCGGTAGAAATGGAAACTTTATCGGGTCCATAAACTGCACAAATTATATTGGAGGCTTGAGATGCATTTTTACCTTTATCGTAGTAGTACTGTAAAATATGCCGTATTTTCTCTTTATTTTGCTCCATGTTTGCGACGCTTTAACTCACGAACGACTTAAAAGAAACGACAATCAATCTAACACGTGTTAGCGCGTGAAATGAGCTTTCCAAAAAGGTATAGCATGACCCGATGTGACGAATAAGACTGTAACTACGCGCTCTCAGCGGCAACTACCGAAAATACCGCAAGACATTTTTGACAACCTATTATTATGAAAGGATGAATTAATTAAGCCAATTAGTAAATTTTACAGTTATGTAATGGACTAAATTATGAAACTGACTTAGTCAGTAGGTATATTTAGCAATTAATTAATTTTGGCAATAAAAAAATTGTGAAATTATTAAACTGACTGAATCCAGGAACTGATTTGGACAACAAGTAAATTGTTAAATTAATAAATTGATTAGATTAAGGAATTGATTTAGTCAATTAGTAAACTGTGATACAATTTGATTGACTGAATTTGGAAACTGATTTATTCAATTAGTAAATTGTGCTACTAATTAATTATCTCACAAAACTGCCTGCCGCAATAACACACTTACAGATAAATGGAAGCGTCTGGGGTTAATTTTTGATTGTTGCTGATTTATTCGTTAATTTGGCCGACTTGTTTCATTAGATTTTAAATTTTAAATATTTTTCAATATATTTTTTTGCTCGCTACCTGCATTTTAAGCTTTTCTTATATACTTTTTATCAGATACGCTTCATATGAAAAATTTTGTCTTATTTAGCCGAAATGTTTGATTAATTACTTTTCACTAATTTTAATTAATTCTCTTTAATTTTCTCTTATACACATTACATGAGAAATGAATACACATAAAAAAGCAAAAAACATTTAAAGCGAAATCATAGCATCTAGAAAAAACTTAACTAAGCAGCGTTTTCCGCATTTTCCGCACCGCGCACCAACAAAAAAGTCCGAAAGAATATATTTCTCCGCAGCTCTTTAGTGGCTTGTGTGGAAAGTGCTTCGTCGCTTTATTCACACATTACATACATACAATTGTTGTTTGTTTGTTTGTTTTTAATAAGGAATATCGACGTGCTCATTTGTTGTTGTTTTTCGTATTTTTTAATCATTTTGATTTTTGCTTAAATTTTGTTGTTGATTTGTGTTTACGTGGTTGCTTTGCAAAAAACATGCAACACTGGCGCAGTGGAAGCATTTCAGTTGTTGTTGTTGTTGTTGTTTCTGTTCGTTATTTTCAATTTTTGCGTGTTCTTTGTTCTTTTTGTTGTTGTTGTCGGTGTTGTGTTTTTTGCACTAGCGGTAACACAAATTCACATCAATTTTACACATTCATTTTAATGTACAAATATACGCGTACTTATGTAGTTTTAACTTGATTAAACTTTTTTTTAATTTTTTCTAATAAATTTACGGTTAATTTTGAATTTTGTTTCAATATTTTTTCATTTTGTGTTTTTAGCCTTATAATTTATTTGCCTAAAGTTTTGAGTTTCATGCCAAAGTGTTTGTTTGTGTTGTTTGTGTGTATAAATTGGTGGTGGTGTGTGTGTGGGCAGGCTGCAGTGCATTGCAGCGTGGAGGGCATACTGAATATTGCAAATGTATGCTTGAAGATGAAATTCGTGAATATTTTGCGAATATCTAAGCATAGTTACAAGTGTGTTACTCATACGCCATGTCGTTTCGCCAGCACCTCCAATTTAACTTCACCACCGCATGCCCACCCCAAATAAGCCCCGCTTGGCATTGCAAACAAACTGTGAACTAGCTTTTTTGCTATTAATGTCTAATACTTTGCACACCAATACACACATATCAAAAATGTTCGCTGTTAATTCCTTTCCTTCCCTCTCTTCCTTAATATTTTCACTAAAAAATTTGCTTAGTTTTGATTATGCGTTTTTCTAGAATAATAAAAATGAAATAATATTTTTTCTTTTACTTCAAATGCAGAGCTTTTGTTTTTTTATTCAGTTAGATTTAGTCTGGTTTGGAAGTTTTCAATTCTTGTGTTTTTGGAGAAAGTTACAACACTGATAAATGAAGGTGGGTGTGTGTGTGCTTTGGGAGGTGCGTGGAAGGAGGTGTCAATGTGTGGTTTTTCATAGGGGCAAGGAAAGTGGGTGTTTCAACATTTACTCAATTGAACTTTTTTTATACAAAATTTTGAATTGCGTGGCATATTCTCTAAAGAAGCATGAAGCCAAAGTCAAACTTTAAGTAAAAGCAAAGCACATACATATCTAATTGCAAATTGAGCAATTAAGTTTACCACTACATCATTACTTTACTTTATGATAAAATATTCTACAATTAACCTTTTGATTTTTTTGTATTTGAAGTTATATTTATGTCTTGTTTTATTTGCTGAACATTTTGTATAGAAACGTATATCGATGTATGAGCAGTTGACGTTCAAAGCGATTCAAAAAAAATATTTATAATATTATTATTTTAAATTTTATTTTGTTCTCATTTAATCTTTTTTTTATAAATTCGTACTATTATAGGATACCAGAATATCGAAAAAATTAAAAAAAATGTATTGAAAACCAAAATCACCGCTGAATCAAATTGTAGACTAATTTGACCAGTGCAGTTTATGGGTTAGCGGTAACCCATTAATTTTCACTTAATTGAGAGCTTAAATATTTACTATATATAGCACCAAAGGCCTGGGAATTTAAAGATATAAAAATATGTGCCTATGGAGTTTAAGATATTTAGAACGACCGCTTTTTTGAAGACCTTTCTGTTCTCAAAACAAAAAAAGAAAAAAAAACTTTCTTTTTTCAAGAGAAGTACGAAAGGAGGGAGAAACTTGATGAGTTTGCATAGAAAGTTCGTGGTATATTCTGGGTATATTCTGAGGCAGAGATAGTCAACTGCTGGTGAGGAACTGTCCAAAGTTCAGCCACTTTTTATTGTATTACGAACATCCATCTAAGTGGGAAAAAAATACAGAGATCTCTTTCACAGGCTTCAGATATAGAAGTTCACAATGTAGAGCTTCAAAATGATGCTTAGTGCGCTATTGTAGCTCTGAACGCTTATATCTCTGCGACTTTTCAGAATAATCAAATCACTGAGCACGTTTTACGATACTAAAATCTCTATGCTCAAAGCGATATATATTTAGTATATATACTTACATGAATATATATATATATATATGTAATAGTATCRGACTCGAAATTTCCCAGCATAATCCTCATATTCTAAAAAAAACACTATTGCGTGGTATATATTGAAATAAGTTCAATGATTTAAACGCCAACTGCTGACATACACAATTAAGAGCAATTAGCATAATATAACGGTATTTATATGATTTGATTTATACAATTTAAGCTTCAACTTGAAAGCTCACAAAACTTACGCCGTATAACTGTGCATGTTGCATGCATATATACACATACTTATACCAAATACACATCTGCCCAGCTGTCAGTTGAAATTTCTAGTAATTAAGCTTGCACAAGCGCACTCAAATTGTCACACACGCACACACATGCACACTTTTATACACACACATGCACTGGCAGACAAGCACACAAACCTAGCGCAGCGCTCGCGTAACTGTTTAATTGCAGCAAACGCAAATGAATGCAATCAACCGACTGTAAATAATGAATTATGGAATTTCGCATATTACACTAAACTCTATTTAGTCTATACCTATATATAAGTATATACATACATACATATATATATAAATATATATATATATTTACTGTTATATGTATGTGGTGTGAGTGGCCCGACTGTGGCGGCACAGCTTTAACTTGGCATCACATAAATGCGTAATTTGCAACACACGCTTATTTAGAATGAATATTGATTTTTAGTCTAAGTGCTAATATTATGCGCACGAATGTGACTGCACTCGCATTTCTACTGCACAGTTGCATTTGTATTTTACTTGTTTGTTTGTTCATATTTTGGTTAAATATGCTGGCTTAAATATAGGTTATGTCTAACGGAAAGTAGTCGACGCAAATGCGGCACGAAACGACAACAACTACATATTGTATTTGTAAATCACTTTAGTTTACCGGCAACACACTGCAACTAGTCGCTGAATTTATACATATTAGAGTAGTTGTAGTCCTATGCTAATGCTCCTTACAAAACTAGCGATATTTATATAAGTATTTTGTATGCTGGTTTTTGCTTTTGTATGTCTACGGAATAAGCTTACTTTCGTAAACGCTTTAATTTGCATTTTTGTAGTGTGTGTGTGTAACTTAATTCCTGTTTTAATCTCAATCGATACAGCTCACTACTATGCCATGGCTTACACCCACACCTCTGGCCGGCTGACTAACTGACGCGACACGCACCTGCACGCACTTACACTTTGAGCGCGTTTCTCGAGCAGATCGCCGGATTACTACACACCTCGTCCGCGCCGCGCTCGTACTCCTCCTCCTCATCGCTGCGCTGGTAGGCCAGCGACGTCGCGCCCAACGCGCTACCAACGCCAGCAAAGCCAGGCACGCCAGTGCCGCAGCCAAGTCTACCGCCCTCCTTGGCTTTTCGTGCCGCCGCCTTGTTGTTGGCAAGACGCATGGCCACTTCGGCAGGCGCCACTGAGACGACCGCGTGTGCGGCGTCATCGGTGATTAGCATGGACTTCTCATACGCTAAGCGCTGGCGGCGCAGCAAGCAGCGGTACGCGAGTACCAGGCACACCAGTATAATGGTGCCCGAGAGCAAACCGAAGAAGAAGGGTTTCTGCATGTCGGCAACAGCCATAGTGAGCATGCTCAGATCGGGCTTATGTATCGGTTCAATCAGGCTGATGTCGCTGTTGTGGGAGTGCCAGTTGAAAACGAACTGTGTGTGTCTATTCAAAGCCTCGACTGATTGATCATGGTCGTCGTCGCGCTCGTCGTATGGCAGTACGGCAGCGTTATCGGTATCGGCGGTCAAACCGTTAGAATTCGAGGAGCTATCGGCGTCCACATATTCCGTGTTGCCATTGCTGATGTGGTCGATTGCATTGTTGTTGATTTGCTGTGGTTGTTGTGGTTCGTTTTGGGCGGCTGGGAGTGTTCTGCTGTCGATTGTTGTTGTGGAAATTAATGTGGCATCGACATTGGGTGCTTGTGTTTTATGTTGGCCACTGTGCTCGTGTGCCATCACTGCCTCGGATGTGTCAATGCTTAGTGGCAGCGAGCGGGACATGAAGCCGGTGAGCTGTGGAAAGGAAAGGGAAATTGCATAACAATTATTATTAGTGGTTTTAAGTTTATTCTAGAATGTTTATCATCAAATGGAAAGTGGTTTCGGTCTCAGACTAAGAAATCCTTCCTTGTTGGCATTCGCTAAAGGCATTCGCATTATTTTATTGGTCAACTACGGGTCAAGGTGCTATATTCAATGTTAGAACAGCATTTTCTTCTCGTAAGTCTGTCTGCAGTTCCTCGAACATTGAGAAGGTGTCGAAAATTTTCATGACCTTCATTGCAGACACTTTCCGGTTTGACTGCACATCAAAACTTTCCCGTAACTTTTCACAAACCCAGTAACGGTATATACAACCACCTCACATTTCGCTACCAATGATCTGACAGCCATTCAATTCGCATTTCAATTATTTATGGCCATTCAAAAAATTTAATTACTTTCGAATTTCTAGTTAAAACTCATTTATTACCGCGCCTACAGAGTCGGCACGTCGACAATTTGTGTGAACGGCACTAAGCGTTTGCAATGCCGTTCAACTAACGCTACACCCACGAGCAGCTGCGGCTCACACTTGACACCGGCCGGCTTATCGCAAACATGGATCGCGCCAGTCGTGCCACAACGTATTTTTTCGATTCTTGCCGAAATATTTTCGGTAAAAATTTGACCGAAATTGTGAAAATTCGCAGATGCGAAAGTTAGCACCAAAGGGGAATGTGGCTTGTGGCGCGTTGGGGTTAGATAACACTTTAAAAATACTACTTTAAATGGCTTGAAGTAATGGTTACTTGTTAGGAGAAGTAATTTCTCATTGCTTTTCATCAACTTACCTTATTTTTGCAGGTGACCTTAACGCGGTACTTTGTGTCCGGCCACAGTGATAACTGCACAATCGATGACTCGGTCAGGAGATTGCCCATCAGCCCACCACCGGACACCTCCCAGCTGATGAGGCATTGATTTGGCGTATTCAATGCATCCCAGGCGATGTCGACGAGCACTAGTGAGTCTTGTTGCAACATTGAAACTGTGCGCAATGTCCAAGTTTCCTGGATTGGTTTATTAATTTTTGATGATTGCTGCATTTGTTGTTTATGTTGCAATTGACGTCTGTCCACATTTTCCGTAGATGTTGGTACGATGGTTGTCGTGCTTGTTGTGGTTGTTGTGCTTGCTTGTATCAGAGCTGGCGGAGTCATGCAGTTGAGGTAGCACTAAAAATACAAGAAGACATTTTTATTGAAACTTTTGGTTTAACAATTTTATGATTTTATGGGTGTAGTTTTACTTTGTGAAAAAGTATAGTCGTTAAAAGTACTTTGTAATCTCAAAAAGGAAAATTTGTAGCTTAGATCCGTTTGAATATACTATAGTTCTGATATAAGCTGCAGATTTCACATAATATTAATGAATACATTAAACAGCCTTGGTTGGCTTTGTTGAATATTTCAATATAAAATTTCTTTAGTTTTCAAATACGAGTTTAGGGCCTTGCTCAAGTTTGGTTACTTCTATATTCGCTTAAGGGTTGATAGTGAATTGTTGGGATACACAAAAGTCGAGCAACGTCGAATAATAACTTTGAGATCATTAAATACATGATCGAGAGGGTGGATGATAGATTACCGTACACTATGTGTCAACTTTCTGAAGCCAAAGACCGAAGAGTGAAAGAAGCTACTGACGCTCCAAATAGCATAAAAAGCCATAAATCAAACTCTTTCTTTTTCTTTCTCACTCTCTAACTCTCATTTCCGTTATGCGCTCAGCTCTCATACATTTAGAGAATGTCTACAAAGTTACGTGTACGTTTACAAAGATAAGGAACTGTAACGCTGATTTGATGTATGAGCAAATAGTTGCATCCCGACTAAAGTGAATATATTTATAAAGCTGCTGACTTTGAACTACCAGGTGTACCAATATAAAGTGAGCGTTAAGATGAAAAAGGGTTTGTAGGGAACATTTGTTGTGAACGAGCCTTATTTTTTCTTTCTGTTTGGCATCTATCACATTTATTTCATGCATCTAACTAATGAAATTGAAAATAATTGTTGCGCTGCTTTTTAGAAAGCAAGTGTATAAGTAAGTAATAGACAAAATAAGATGTCTTCATTTCTCAATTCATCCCTTCACCGACTCGTTTCCTACAAAAGCCAGCGACTACTTGCATGTACTCACTGCTTTGTGATTGCTTGTAACAAATTGAAGTACTGACAGCACTCTCTGCTATTTCCTCTACTGTAATTAATCACATAATGACAATAATCAGTTGAAATGTCATTTCTTAATATAAGATTTTCCCAAAGTGCATAACAAAACTAACGGAATCGCATTAAGTGAAAAGTTCTGTACGCCAAAAATCAATTTAAAACTTAGTTCCTTAAGCTCAGCTAGCAAAAGCAACGAAAGTTTTCACGCTCAACCAAATGTTGTGCGCAAGCAAATGCTWTTATATATATATATTTGTATATTCACCGAAATTAGTTTCGGCGCGGGGTGGAGCGATTTTGCCCGCAACTATTTACACGCTGACATACTTATTAATACTTTCGCAGTTGTAATCTGCGCGTGCTTACACATGTAATGATTACAGCATACAAATAAATAAATATTACTATGCTTCCCTTCACTCGCAAATGACATGCGCGCCTACGGCCATATGCAAAGCACAAAAACAAAACAGAAAATACAGAATATTATTAGCATATTTGTTTTTGAGCTAATCTCGGAATTTGCTTTTTGGTTAATGACTTATTGCCTGGGGCATACAAAGCAATCAGCGCATGTGGAATTGCCACTGTCGCCTAGGCGCTCAATCCACACGAAATACACGTGCATACAAACATACTCACGTACTGTTCTCCGCGCACCCCGCGTGCCTTAAGTATCCTGTGTTCCGGCTCGCGTTTCCAGCTCCGTTTTTGCGTAGACAACCAGCTTGTTAAATGAGAATATTCCTAGCCACATCTTCATGAGAATTTGTTGATTTTTTCTTTCCTCCCTCTCGTCGCCAATTTCCTTTCATGCGCTCTACACATGTTATTTGCTGCTGATTTTCGCTAGTCAGACCCCTCCACGCAACGCCTGCTCTGCAGCCGGTGCACGCTTAAGGCAAGCTTATTTTTCGCTGAAGCCACCTTCTTACAGTGGGTCCATTCTCATATATAGTTGTATGTGTATGTGCGCTTGGTATGTTTTTCACATGATCATATATCAACTTTTATTAATTCGAATTGCTTTCGCGCAGCGCCGATTTGTGTTTGTCTGTGGCAAGTGGTTTTCGCAACCTGAGAGGCAAGTAACTAATAGTGCTTCGTAGTGAAGTTCGGCGCTCCAAAGCACCCATATGAATTCGCACATAGTTTTCACATACAAGCCATTCCTGCATGTATATTATGTGTGGAAGCATGTATGTGCTACCTTACTGCCCTACCTGTGGTCCAATCAAAAACTCCCGGCATTCCTGGCTCGCCTCCCGCGCGGTTTCCGGCAACCCAGTTGAGCCAACCAATTTCTCCGCAGTTATTTATGTGCAGCAACACACATTTATTTGTTTTAGCAAAGCTTCCTTGCTGCCTCTGCTGCGCCGTTGTTCACTGCTCATGTATCTGTCTTGTACTCGTGTATTTAAAAAGCTCCGCTCATGTCTCTCTCAGCCTGTGCGCCTGTCTTTGCCGCGCCTTGTCTCTTCAGCGCTTGTATAATTGTGCGGCTGTTTGTTTGCTCGTGGGTTCTATGCTTGTATTGCCTTAAGTTGTGCTCGTAAATCGTCTTTATTACGATTATGTTTGTTTATTGCAATAATTTATGTGATTTGCGGTTTTGTTGCTCACCAATTTACGTTTGTTTGCCTTTTCCTTGTTTTATTTGATTTTTGCTTTTTTTATTTCGACTTTGCGCTGAAGTTTTTATCTTTCGCAATTTGAGCTTTGTTTTCTGCTTCAACGCTTCTTGAATGCGATTTTCTTACTTAAGTTATTATTCTTTGGCGACTTTTTTGAGTTAATTTTTTTCGAAGCCAAGGGGGAGAAAGGCGCAATTTTTGTATAATTAGCGATTACATAGATTATTTCTCAAGCTGACATAATTTGTTTTGTTCATGTTTAAAGAGAAATTTTTATTATATAACCTCTCAGAACCCCACTCTTCTTTTAATAGAACCATCCATGCTGATTTAAGGGTGTCTACGTACTTACCTCTCCACGTCATGACTTAATAGAAAACATGTTTCGGTATTTCCTGCACTATTTCCCTAACCTTTCGATAAGCAAGTGGAAAAAAATGCATAGCGGCACCAGAATCTATGTACAAGGAACACTTATAACATCGGTAAACCAGTCAGCAATTAAAACGCATATTTTAATCCAGATATCCTATCACTGGAACCGCATTCGTAGCACAGTACGTCCATATATGGTCTATTTATTATAATGTACCCGAGATGTTATTCTAAAAATGCTAACATTATGGTCTAATGATCTACAAAGATAACTTGGAGTATTATATAAAGTTTAGTAAAATATATCAATTTTGCGGGTAATTCTATAATGCAAATCACATTGAAACCCTTGCTCCTAATGAAACAACTTGAGTCTCATCGAAACCATTACAACTTGAGGGTCGATTTTCACAGCTACCCTTGAGGCGAATTAATTTCCAGCAAAATCATACCTAGTGCTTATTTAATTGAAAATAGTTGCTCTCTTACTGAACAAAGTTGACCGTCTATGCGTGATTGTTTTCCGCAGACGGTCTCATTGTTGACAGTCTAGATCTGAGTAAAGCGTTTGGCCGTAGGCAAGTAGCTCAGATAGATGATTTCCGACCAATATTAACAAACACAAGGCAAAAGAGAAATGAAACGATTCCAATCAGCCTTAAAGTGGTTCCAAACGGTTCTATGTTTTGCAAGAGTTAAAGATTTGATTTTATTATGTTGGGGAAAACATCTCAGAAACAGTATGCTTTCACAATTAAGGCCTGAACTCAAATTTCGATGCGCAATTTTCAGGCAGAGGAGTATCTCATAAAGATGGCGAAATCAGGAAGAAAAAAATAAAAAAAAGCCTCCACAAAGTGGCTTAGAAAATAAAATGTTGAAAATACTTGATGAGGTCGTTTGAGCTTTCAGACTTATTTATACTTAAATTTAAGCACAAATGCGCGTGCTATTCATATTCTCAGTACAATTCTATTCATTACGAAGCAATCACTGACTGACATGTGTAGACAACCTCGACTAAAAAATTAATTGAAAATTTTAAAAATGAAATACCTTCGCGCGACAAACCCATGTAATTGCTAAATAAACATAAATAATCATTAATCTTCGCTAAGTGCAAAACGCGAACCTCTGAACCGAACTGCACGAGTGTATGTATGGCGTTGTGAAACTGTGAAAAATTCTCAGCTCAAGCACAGCTGGCAACGCGTCCGCACTTGTGTTGCGCGCTTGGGCATTCACTTTTAATTTTTCACTTATGCTGCTGGATTTGCTGGCGGAAAAAATTAATAATAAAGTGTAGTTAACTAAAAGTGGGTAATAAGCCGCTGAGAACTCGTGAGCGTTGCATTCACCAGCGCAGCTGAAACTCTTTTAATGCATTTACATATTATATGTAATATTTTTTTTTTAGGCCACACAGCTGTGCCACTAAATCACACAGTCACCCGCGCAGTGGCATTGTGGCAGGTAGGCATACACAGAGATATAAACGAAAGCACACACACACACATGCCTAGAAAAGCAAATATTTTCTGCGCCAGCAAGACATGACTGCGGCGACTGCACACATGCATATGTGGCTATGTGGCTGGCTGTCGAAATGAAATGCAAAATTTTCGAAAGACAAAATCGTAAAACAACACAGCCAAAGCATAAGCTCAGCGCCAACAACAATGACATTCAAATAAATATAAAAATAGTTGTTGTCGGTGATTCGATTGTTTGCGCTGTGCCGTTGTCTTTTGCTTGCGCCGTGCGCTGGTCTGGCTGTCCTCATAGGCTTCAGGGGGTCTATTGCGCGCGCTGTGTTGACTCGCCTTGTTTGTTGACTACAATCGTGCCACAAGCTGTGATTACAAGCTGAAGTACATATGTGAGTATTCGTTAGTCGCTGAGCGTGGTCCGAGCACGCCTTCGCCAGCAACAATGCATAGCGGCATTTAAATTATTGTGTGGCACAGAAAAACTACAAATATGAATTGGCTG